ATTACAGAGGTAAAATCGTTTTCAAATTGATATTTTATTTTCATATCAAATCTTTCTGTCCACATCAGTTCGTTCATATTGCCATTCGGAAATGTTTTGAAATTTGCTCGCAGCAATAAAACTGCTAAATTTCGTTGAATAATCTGATTGCATTGCCAATTTAACAATTACGTTTAAGTCATATAATACTATAGAATTTGATAAATAAACTCAAGTAAAGTAGGCTCATCTTTTCAGGACATTACGTTGTGAATTGATCAATACCACGTATTGGGGAAACATAACGAAGAATTGCATCGCATTTATCACTCTGTGGGTAAAATGTCGTTCTTGGGTAAAATCATGCTGAACTCTTCAATCTTGACCGTAGGAATGTGTCAAAACGACATGGGTAAAGTGGCGAAGTTAGCAAGTTTGTGTACCGCAAAGAGTCAAGGTAGCGTGATACTATTAACCAGCAGGAATTTACAAGTGACTGTCCATGATAATTGAACTGATAATGATAAAAGTTTGAGTTTGAAATTTAAATATCAACAGGTTCAAAACAGACAAATACATTCCGATCTTTTCTTTTCGAAGGAAAATTGCTGAAATCACAAATGTTTGGTGTTCTTCATTCATGTCTCGCGAATTCGGCTGTTTGCGGTCCTCGTCAGAGTGACTGGCTTTAAGCGAACACATTCTGCCGATATCGACGACCGATTCAGTCGGATTTGCAGAAGAATCGATCAGAAAACTACTTGGAAAAGTGTATTTCATAACAAAAAATAGTAGAAGATTTATCCGTATGTAAGATTGAATCTTTTCTGAAACTTATTGTTGTGACAACAACAACGTTATTTTCCAATTATTCGTGTATGCCAGGTGACCGTGTCAGCGTGCAGATCTACCGTATTCGAGGTGTCGGTCAACGATAACGTTATATATTTGCGACATGCTTTCTTATTAATTCCATGTGTTGGCATGGCTACCTGAACAGCATGTATGTATTTACACCTGGTAATTGTCTACCATTTTGATTGACAGGTGGAAATATATCCATTGTAGCTTGGTCAATGATCCTACAGAACGATGGGGTGACTTTCATGTCATTCTGACATATTTCTAGTTGTATGATTAAGACAATGGTTTTGTGTTAATTCAGCCTTGTATACTCAAATTTCTTCGGCTATCGGACTATATGGTATCATTTAATGGCACTAGCCAAACACCAGAGAGCCTGGTGGTCGTGCTATTAAATTTTTACACCTCTGAATGTTGGTATTGTGTCTTTAAGAGTACTGATTGACTTATCAAAATTATTTGAAGAGAGGTAATTCAATATGGCGAACCTGAAACTCCAGAACGATAACCCAAGAATGACTTGTTCCTGCCTAAAGTGCGCACCCCCTTTTTGTGTCGCCTGCGAAAAGCTGGTGACACATAGGTATTGCTATGTCGGCATCGTAGGCGGCGTCGTCCGCACAGAGGTTTTCGTGCCTATCAAACTCAAACTTCATGCAGTGCTTCCTTACCAAAAGTGCTTGCTTGGGATTGGTTTTCAGGTCTGAAGGTCAAAGGTCAAGGTCACTGTTACTATAAATAGAAAATCTGTTTTCGTACGTTAACTTGTGTTTCTTGGGGTTGCTTTTCAGGTCCGATGGTCAAAGGTCAAGGTCACTGTTACTATAAATATAAAATCTGTTTTCGTGCGATAACTCAAACTTCATGCAGTGCTTCCTTACCAAAAGTGCTTGCTAATCTTTGATTATTGCTTACTTTTAGCATTATTTCTTGAAATGAAAAGTGTATCTATTTCTTCGTAATCCCCCAGCTTCCTGCGCAGGCGACACATCCACTTCCGTGGAATTCTTGTTTACATGACAACTTTTACCTAAAAAAGTGTGCACGATACGCGGGGATTTAGGGTAGTTGAATAAAAATTAAAGTAAAATTAAAGTATTGCTTTTGTGGCTGTGTAACAGTTGCAATGCATGCAAAAATACAAACCCATTGCACAATTTGAAAAAAAAACCCAAAACAGGCTAGGCAGGATTTGAACCTGGGATGTTTTGGTAATAAGGCTTGCATATTACCACAAGGCTAGGTTCGTACTGGAGGTCATAATGGAACATTTTTTTATATATATTTTTGTTTTGTTTTGTGAATCTCGTTTTGAAATCTTATTCAAATAAATCAAGGATTTACTTACTGATGTACCAGTAACAACTGAGGGACGTTGTTTTGGCTTAAAAAACGTCTCTGTTTATCAAAAAGAAAGTTGCAATGGCGTGACTAATAAGCGCACAGATCTGGAATCAGAAATTTAAAACTAAACAATAATCACAAATATTAAAATAAATAAATAAAATAAATCCATCACCTTCAATTTAATAGTAAATAATCCCCATTTTTAGGTTACCTGACCATAGGTCATGGTAACCTATTGTGATAGCCTTTTGTCCGTCGTCGTGCGTCGTGCGTTAACTTTTCCTTGTGAACACGATAACTTTGTATGCAGCCATATATCAATAAGTTCTCAGACAATTTCGAAAATGGGAATTATTGGACAGAGTTATTGCCCTTTGTAATATTATTATTATTGGACCTTGTGAACACGATAACTTGAGTAAATGTTAACTAAGATTGATGAAACTTTTGAAAATCATTGATTTACGCTTTTACTTGTTTCTTTATCCAAGAACAGAAGACATACAGTTACCAAGTTTGTTCAAAACAGACCCCTTGGGTCAAAATTGGAGTCACACCCATTTATTTCAGTTATCGTGTTCACAGGGTCCAACAACAATAGAATTTCCAAGGGGAATAACTATGGGAAGTTATGGTCAAATTGGTCCAGTATTCAAACACATTCAAGATCTTATTGATACAAAGCTGTATACAAAGTTTCATTAAAATCGGTTCATATTTACTGAAGTTATTGTGTTCACAAGAAAAACTAATGGACGATGCAGCAAGGTCACTCGGACCGACAAAAAGTATGAATTGGCCCCTGGATGACGGTCCTAATTTGAATCAGATGTCAGGTGACCGTTAAGGCCCATGGGCCTTTTGTAATATTGTAGTTACTGAGGGGAAAAAAAGTTACAATATTTCATGAAAACTGAAATGGAAAGATTGTTGTGCGAGATAGTCTGCTTGGATAAATCTGTTTTCGGTCCTGTAAAAATAATTTCTTTACCTGTCCGAATGTCCTGTTATGATTTTAAAAGTTTGGCACATACTGCTTGATGGACCAGTAAGTTTCTACTTCGGCAGGTGCATTTGAAGATTTAAAAAATATTTTTCTTGCCCTGATTTAATAAGTGGTTTCCTAGGGAATGGTATGTGATAAGCATGTCTAAGTAAACAGAAAATTATCATATCTATCTAATCGGAAATTTCCTGATGTTTATTAGTCCCCCACCGGTTCCCAGGGGGACTAAAGGTTTGTACTCCATCTGTCCTTCCATCCGAGATGTTTGTCCGGGACATATCTTCTGTACTATTTCACCTGGAGTAACGTACCAGATTTGGTGTACAAGAATTTATTGGGATGACGGAGTGCAGCGTGCAAGAAAAAGGTACTATGACCTCACTGTGACCTATGCTTTGACCTTAACTTTAGAAAAGTTTGTCCAGGGCATTTTCACCTGGAGTAACCAGATTTGGTGTACTAGGGACATCTTGGTATGGCAAAGCTCAAGAATTAGGTCACTGTGACCTATGCTTTGACCTTTGACCTTATCTATTGAATAAGTTAGCAATCATTAGCGGTGGGGGACTATGGATTACCTTGTAATACTTTGCCTTGGGGTAGTTGGTTCCATATCTTTATGTCGCCTGCAGAACATGTGACATTGGAATTGCTCCATCAGCTTTGTAGAAGGAAGTGACCTCATTGTATACACAAATAGTTTTCTTATGATAACTCTAGGATAAAGGATTGATTTTCATGATACTAGCCATACATATCTATAATATCGCTGACCAACTTCAGTTTGATTTTGATTCAAATTTGGAGATCAACATGGTTGCCAGTTGGGCATGCGCAGGTTTAACTCTTTTTAAATTTAAGAACATATTGCATCAAAAGGTCAAAACGCAATCATTTATTGATTGGGATGTGTCATATTTCCCCAGTTATAGTTACTAATAGCTCAATTGAATGTGTCTAGTTGTGAAATGTGAGAATACATTTAAAAATTAGACATTGAGTGGTCCAAGTGTCTGTGGACAGTCTACACCATAGTCTACACATGACCTTCGCTGTTTTGAGAATGCAAAACCCCCCCAAAAAATAATCTCAAGTCGCTATGGTTCGGGTAATGTGACAAGGTTTGGCTCATGTGTGGAACTCCTGTGATAAGCTGTGTAATCCTGTGATAAGCTGTGTAATCCTGTGATAAGCTGTGAACTCCTGTGATCAGCTGTGAACTCATGTGATAAGCTGTGTAATCCTGTGATAAGCTGTGAACTCCTGTGATAAGCTGTGTAATCCTGTGATAAGCTGTGTAATCCTGTGATAAGCTGTGTAATCCTTCCTCTGTACCTAATGACAGGTCAGTATGGTGATGATGTCTCAGTGTAAACGATGGATTGGCGTCACATTTAAACATGGTGTAACTAACAGCTGATATTCACTCTACAAAGACTGCAACAATAGAAATGCTCTCTTTATGGATTGGCGTCACATTTAAACATGGTGTAACTAACAGCCGTATTCACTCTACAAAGACTGCAACAATAGAAATGCCCCTTTTATGGATAGGTGAAATATCCCAGAATCCAGGATGTAATAAGGTTTACAATTTCTTCACATAGATGTACTGGTAAACAATATACAAAAAGCTCATTCCCTCATAACTTTACAAACTTTTAATATATACATTTTTCGAAAATTTCAAAAACTGATGAATGTTTTTGAAAATGTTAATGATGTACTGTAAAGAAAGGGCCATACTGATGATAATAATAATAATAATAAGACTGATAATCAATTGTTCTTACATCCATTTCAGAGCCAGGGAAGAATTGACAAATGCTTCCAACCAGAAGCATTTTTAGAATCTAAAAAGACACAAAGTTCTTGTGTCAAAAAGGCTCTCTCAGAATTAACAACTGCTCCTACTTCTAAACTTTCCCAAACCGAAGCAAAGATGCTATGGATGAAAGACAGAAAAAGTTGAAAGGTAAAGCGATCAGTGAAAGGCAAAAGTCAAAGGGTAAAGGTAAAGTAAAGGGCAAAGGCAAGTTGAAAGATGATCCTAAGACGAGTGAAGGTAAGCCTTATAAGCTTATTAAGGAAGTTATTGAGCTGTCGGAGAGTAGCTCAAGTGATGAGGAAATGGGTAGTGCATGTAAACCCAAAGTTAGTAAGTCAGCGAATGTTGCTGCGTCTTTGGTGAGGAGAGATGAGATGAAATCCCTCTCCCATCTGGAACCAGGAGGATTTTGTCGGGACGACGATGAAGATACAAGCGAGACAGTGGGACAAAAACTTAAATCTCACTTTGATCGTCTCGAAAAATGATTTGATATACAGATGGAAGTGCAACAGAAACCTAGTGGTAGTCAGACGAGTAAAAGGAGGGGTAAACAATCCTCCAATACTGCTGATGAGGAAATGACAATGTCAAGTGTCTCACAGACATCGAAAACTAAGGCTCGCTCAAACTTGGCCAAGGTGAACATCTCTGACTGTTCATCCGATAGTGATTATTGATGTAAACGTTTAAGGTTGTTCGACCTGACCTATTTCTATGTAATAGTTACATTGTAGAGGGATTCTCTTTCTGTATAGGTACCATGTTCTTCTGAAGGGCAATACAAGTATTGTATCTGATTTGTGAAAATTTCAAAAACACATTCAATAACATCTATGTTAAAATTTGTTGTTAATTGAATGGAGCTAAATTCTGTTTCTTGTCTTGACAGTATATGCTTTGTGTATTGTCTGATACTGGATTCAAAAATCTTTTCACACTGTCTTGTGCGCCCATCCTTCCAGAAAGTTTACCCATGAATGTATATGAAAATTAATTTGTTGAAAAAAATATGTTCAGGAAGGACAATTTTAAATGTTTAGATATGATAGTATATTTTTGAAGTGTTTTAATTTTGTTCACAATATTTCACTTTCATAAAATTGTCTGAAAAAAATTTGCTGTTATGTATATATATTTAGAATTTAATAATTTGTAATAATATTGCTTCCAATTGAAGTTTACTTAATACCTTCGTTTTTACCTCCCAAAAATATGCTTGTTGTGAAAAGATGTGTGTTCAGAATTAAAACATATGCATGTTTGTTTTGTTTTTAAGTTAATGTTTATTGTTAAACATTTAATATATTTCATCAACAAGTAAATAGAATTGTTGGTGCAATATGCCTAAATTGAATTGATACTAACCCATCAACTGATTTGTGATATAAGTTATTGATTGAATTATTTGATGTATTTGTATAATGTTTTTTCCACAGGTAGAAAATGTTTAATTACAGATGTTATGTGGATTCACTATCAAATTGCTTTTAAGATTCAACAATGTGCAACTCGTTATATTTATGACACGACCTGCAAGAACCTTATTCCTCCCTATGAAGTAAATATCAACTGATTCTACAAGATTCTAGAATAACGTTATTTTTTCATAATACAACGACCCCAAACTTGTTAAATAAATGGCATGGGTATCATTTCCAAATAATTCGGAGTATATACCGCACTTATATGAAATGAGGATTCAAATTTAGTTTCATGAATGGTTGTCAACTGATTTTGAAAGATTCAAGAACACAACATAAAATTTCAACACAACTTCACCAGTATTGTATACGTATATCTACAACATCCAGATTTCATGTCCACTGTACACAACGTCACCAGTAGTGTAGCTGCAACATACAGATTTCATGTTCATTGTACACACCGTCATCAGTAGTGTAGCTACAACATCCAGATTTCATGTCCACTGTACACAACGTCACCAGTAGTGTAGCTGCAACATACAGATTTCATGTTCATTGTACACACCTTCATCAGTAGTGTAGCTACAACATCCAGATTTCATGTCCACGGTACACAACGTCACCAGTAGTGTAGCTACAACATACAGATTTCATGTCCATTGTACACACAGTCATCAGTAGTGTAGCTACAACATCCAGATTTCATGTCCACTGTACACACAGTCATCAGTAGCTACACTACTGATGACATTGTGTTCAGTGTACATGAAATCTGTATGTTGTAGCTACACTACAGGTGACGTTGTGTACAGTGTACAGGAAATCTGGATGTTGTAGCTAAACTACTGATGACTGTGTGTACAACATACAGATTTCATGTACACTGAACACAATGTCATCAGTAGTGTTGCTACAACATCCAGATTTCCTGTACACTGTACACAACGTCACCATTAGTGTAGCTACAACATCCAAATTTCATGTCCACTGTACACAATGTCATCAGTAGTGTAGCTACAATATACAGATTTCATGTCCACTGTACACAATGTCACCAGTAGTGTAGCTACAACATACAGATTTCATGTCCACTGTACACAACGTCACCAGTAGTGTAGCTACAACATCCAAATTTCATGTCCACTGTACACAACGTCACCAGTAGTGTAACTACAACATCCAGATTTCATGTCCACTGTACACAACGTCACCATTAGTGTAGCTACAACATACAGATTTCATGTCCACTGTACACAACGTCACCAGTAGTGTAGTTACAACATACAGATTTCATGTCCACTGTACACAATGTCATCAGTAGTGTAGCTACAATATCCAGATTTCATGTCCACTGTACACAATGTCATCAGTAGTGTAGCTACAATATACAGATTTCATGTCCACTGTACACAATGTCACCAGTAGTGTAGCTACAACAGCCAGATTTCATGTCCACTGTACACAACGTCACCAGTAGTGTAACTTAAACATACAATGTTCACATCCATGTGAGCCCAAGTTGAACTTTGACCCCTGGGTGTGACCCCATGCAATTCATTTGAACACATTCTAATATGCAACATATTAAAGCTCCAGCTCCCGACATTTGGTTTTAGCTAAGAATATTTTCAAAGATCAATATCCATGTTGGTGGCCCTGTCTATGACGCCAGGGACTTTATTTGAACAACCCTGAAGCTATACCAACAGGGCATCATGCAAAATAGTGTTCTGGCACTTATAGAATATTTAAACCTAAATATCCAAGGTTGGACTTTGACCCCTGGGTGGGGCCCCATGTATTTTATTTGAATCTGAAACTACACCATTAGGGCATCAGGTACACAAAATATTGAATCTCCGACACATGGATTTAGATTTTGAAATCTTAATATGCATTTCGGCCCATGTTGAAAATTGACCCTAGGTGTGGTCCCATCTATGACCCTGGGCACCACTAGGTGACCTCCATCTATGACCCTGGGCACCACTAGGTGACCCCCATCTATGACCCTGGGCACCACTAGGTGCCCTCCATCTATGACCCTGGGCACCACTAGGTGACCCTCATCTATGACCCTGGGCACCACTAGGTGACCCCCATCTATTACCCTGTGCACCACTAGGTGACCCCCATCTATGACCCTGGGAACCACTAGGTGACCTCCATCTATGACCCTGGGCTCCACTAGGTGACCCCCATCTATGACCCTGGGCACCAGTAGGTGACCCCCATCTATGACCCTGGGCACCACTCGGTGACCCCCATCTATGACCCTGGGCACCACTAGGGGACCTCCATCTATGACCCTGGGCACCACTAGGTGGCCCCCATCTATGACCCTGGGCACCACTAGGTGACCCCCATCTATGGCCTTTGTGGTTCGGTAGAATAAGATGTTTTAAGATTTACCTAATTTTACCCCTTTTGGGACCCCTAGCCCTCCATTTAAACAAACTGAATTGTTACCCCCAATGATATTTCCTACCTAATATGGTTGAAATCGACAGTGGTTCTTGAGAAGAAGCTCTTTAAAGAAAAGTATGTGACCACCACTGGCAACTTCTCAGGTTTTATTATCAGGACATTGACGAAAATGCAGCTTCCAATTGATGCGACAATTTCATTCATATTGAAAGGGGAGGTAAGCGATGACCATACTTTAATACAGGTCCTTTTTACCCATCAATCACCGACACCTGTGGGGATAAAAACAGCAAAAACGTGTGTATTAGGTGTTTAGGCACATGCTCCATCATATTCTCAAATAAAAGTGGATTTCCAAAAGCGTTGCATATGACCTTTAAAGAACACAATACAAAATGTGGCCGTGCCCAAAGCATCTGTATTGGATTTTGGATCTGCCCAAAAAGTAACAAAACTTTTACAGAAACACAGTACATTTGTACCAATTGTAAGTTGAATTCCTTCTCCTCATGAAATATAGATCAGTCCAAAAACTGAAACACTTTATTTGGGACCTGATCTATTTGAAAGGCACATACTAGTACAATTAAATTTGCAATTCATAGCAAGTGTAAAGTTCAATGCTAAATGCAAATCATGCCTTGCAGATACGTCTTTTTTAAAGATATTTGAAAATTTATTTGAAATTTGAAATTTATTTTAATTTAAATTGAAAATTTTAAAAACTTATATACTCATCCAAAAAATAAACGTCTCTTTATCATTGTATTTCAATGGTGCATAAATATTGAAATGCTGTATCTTCCACAATCCTTGTCAAACATTGACAACATTTTCATGGCAGGTTCAGCACATCAGTGGCAATTCAGATGTGCAAGAAAAAATGTGCGATTTGAAAATTTACCATTCCAAGTTCTCAAAAATCCCAAAATGAAAAATAACCTAATTTTTCAAATTGTGTTGTCATACCTACATTCTCATTGACATACAAACAATGTATCATTGCATAGAGATAGTGCACTATTGTAAAATTAACCCGAGATGGCATCAAAGCCACCAAACGCCTGCCTCTTTACACTTGCATCCCAAAAGATAACTATCAGCATCTTGCGCAAATATTGACTTCACTGCATCAATATTACCATGATTACACCCCAAAGGAACCTCCATGCCAAATATTAGAATCCTATAGTTCAAAAATTTAATAAATGGCAGGCCTCTAAAACATGTTGGAGACACCAGGCATATAGCAATAGCTCTGCTCTTTGAACATGTGTACATCTACATGTTCAAAGAGCAGAGCTATTGCTATATGCCTGGTGTCTCCATCACATGTCGGCTCTCACTCCAAATATCTCTCAATACCTATTTCATATTGTGTATGAAGTTTGCATGATTCTTAATGTCAATGCATTACGTCTTCTTTTCTGTTATTGTATAGCTGTTCGATGGAGGCACCCACACAAGGAAATCTATATCTGGGTTTGTTTGAACATCGTGTGGATTCAATGCTGTCATTCCACTGTCAATCTCCTCTGGACTTGAACACAAAACATCATGATCAGTGACCAGCTTTTTCTTTTTCATTGGTCTTTCAAGCTTGTTCCTTTTTGTTCCAATTGGGTTTAGCCCATTTACTTTCCACGTGAATTTTTCGTGAATTTTCAGATCGGCAAATGATGATGCCTTAGTGTTGCTTGAATCATACAGTTAATGTCTGAAATATCCGTGTCCAGATCTTTGGCCTTTGACAGCAAGCAGACCTCAGCAAATATTGAAGACACTGACATCACAACTCCAGTTCCCATAGGTATCTGGTGTTTTGTTTTTATGCAGACCTGTGACCCAGGTTCAATGTCACATGACTTAACCGATGGAGATTCATCACATTCAAATTCTGATGAGTTGGGTGCTGCTGGAGACATCCTTATATTTTTGAATTGAGGCCGCACAACCTTGGAATGCATTTGATCGTGATTTGCCACAGGTGATTTATGTCTTACAATAGGAGACTTCAAATTTCTAACTGGAGTTTTGACATTTTTAGATTGTTTTTGCACAACCACTGGCGATTTACGGTTTGCAGTAAGAGACTTCCTAACTGGAGTTCTGGCATTTTTAGGAGATTTTTTGTTTTTTGACAATCTTTTTCCTTGTTCTTTGTCCCGGAGGTATTTTCTACGGTTTTGCAGATGTTGTCCTAATCTCTGCCACAATTGTTGTACACCCTCAATTGTGGTGTA